ATCAAGACATGCTCTTTATTCTAGTACTAGAACCAACTGTCTTAGCCGGTAATATGAGATAGAGTTTTCACATTATCTTGATAATACATGCATGTTTTGTNCTATCTATGTATTGCTATTATGACCTTCTGATATATTAAATGCCAAGAGTTTCTTGCAAAACTTGGCTATCAAGACATGCTCTTTATTCTAGTACTAGAACCAACTGTCTTAGCCGGTAATATGAGATAGAGTTTTCACATTATCTTGATAATACATGCATGTTTTGTATGTGAAAACATTACGTTGGTTGTTGAAGTTTGTGTATCAGAATCTTCTAATTTCTATGATGTATGTTCATGTCCTTCAGCTATCCATTGCAGCAAATTCCAACTGTTCCTCCACAGTGGAATGCAAGAGTATGTTTAACTTTCCCCAAAACATTTGCAAGCTTTTTAATAATTACTTGAAAATAATTGAAAAGGTTTTATTCTTCCCAGGATGACATGCCTGGTATAAACTTTGGAGGAGCTACACAATTGGGACCAAATATTCGCGCCCCTGCAAATGCTTTGCCTCATTTGCCAGAACCTTCTGATGCGGGTTTGTTTATATTTTGGCTTTAAATATATTTCACATTTAGTTTGTAGAATCTTTTGTCTTTAGCATTGATAATGTTGGACATGTGAACAGTTGATTGATTTTTCTCTTACAAGTCACTCAACATGCATTAAGAACAAATCCATTAGAAGGATAAATGCGCATATATCGAAGAGGACTGGCTCACTTTTAATGTGCAGCACATTATAAATCCCTTTTATTTTGGATTATTATATGTCTACCATAACTAGGTTTTGCTGATGTACTTGTTAGTTATTAGTCCTTCCAGGACAAATTAAACATTTCTCTGCTTTAGTGGGAAACTAATAACAGACGCTCTGCTGCTCTTGCTATCAGGCTCTGCATCAAATCCTTTTAGCCAAATGAAGATTGTTTGATTACTATCTTCCTATAAGCATGGGATGGAGAAGTTGATATTTTGAGAAAGCTGCTACTTAGTTATTAATACAATTTACCTTATCAAAAAAAAGAAAAGAAAGTCATGCAATGAGAGAGGGATCACCTATCATCTTTGAAAATGATGAAGAGGCATGAACAATCTGTTACTTCTTCATAATATTGAGCATTTGACTCCCTTGTAATACCAGCTTTAACTGTGACTACAACCTTAGTGTTTTTGTGTTGAATAACTTCCGATTCAAACATTTCAAAAGGTATTAAGCATTAAATGATAGTGGTTGCTTTCTCCCTATTATTAGATATTTGTTGCTATTTTCTGAACCAAATAGATATCTGGGAGAAAAAGCTCTTCGGGAAGTTTGTTATTGCTTTTGCTATTGGTGGAAAAAGGATGCAATACTATTGTAGTGTACAAGTCAAAGCTTACCACGACCATGTAGATGTGGTCTTGAGTATCTATCTTTTACCCGTAAAGTAATGGTACATTGGTAGATTCAGGATCAGGGGCTTGAAGCGTTAGGTTTGAGATGATATAGTTACATCTAGAACGATGTATGATTGAAGTTATAGCGCTAATTGTGATAATATTGCAACAATGCAATTGGTCCTTGTTGTGTTGGAGAACAAATTAAATTGAACTCTTGAAAGTAGTCTTTTATAGGTGATTATGAAGGTAAATCCACACGGGGAACACAGAAGAGACAGAAGTTGTGATAGTGATCCGTATCAAGTAATAATGCTTCTATTGGAAAGTTTGTAGTATTGCTTTATAGAAAAGATGAAGCTGGAGAAATGCATGGTCAATCTCTTAGTTAAATTTCGAAAGACTAAGATTCCTATTGGTGGTCATATTAGGAAAATTGACCATTGTGGCTTGGACTAACCTTTCACAGATGGGATTAGCTTACCCTTTATAGGCTTATTAAATAATATCAGTCTTTGTTGGTTAGTGAATAAGCATTTCTTGGGGTAACCAGATGAGTATTAAAACCAAGCAAAAGACTATATCTTTCGTTCCTATAGCGGATGTTTATTCAGGAAAGTGGTTTGGCTTAGATCTTTTCGGAAGGTGGGAATCCTTGTTTGATTTTTTGAATATCCTCCTTCCTTGGATTAGTACTGGGGAAACCTAGATTCAACGTAGGAAGAATCAGAAACAGACTTGAAAAAGATGAGCTGTGTCCTGGAGCAGTATGCATATGATTGAGGAAGATTCAGAAATTCAAGATTCAGTTGAAGGAAAGAATAAAGGGAAAATGGGAGTATTATTTTTCAAGGGACGGGGAATACTTCCTTGTAGCCTGTTCGACATCTTAAGGTGGATAGGAGGGAGACTATAGGTGGAAGAGAGTTCCCTAAGTTGGTAAAAGGGAAAAAAGATCAGAATTCAGTTCCCTTGAATTCCATAAAGGTTACCAGTCTTTTCTACTTGAAGCTCTGAAAACAAAAGATCTAACACACATAATGAAGTGTTTACACTGATAGCTGCTCTCTTCTTACTTCACTGCCTGTTAGTCAGTGGTACAGAACCAGCAAGACCTTACCAGCTTAGAGAAAAGCAAAGGATCCACCTAAATGGGAAGCTTGACCTTCTAAGGTCCTTCGCGCAGTCACATGATATCTCATAGAGCAGCAAGAATGGCTTAAGAGCGGCCAAATACTTCTCAACTTGGGACCTGAATTTTGTGTCGTTGAGCTAGAAACGATCCAAATGGAATTTCTTGTGACTACAGAAAACTTCTCAAATTGGGACCTGACATTTATGTCGTTGAGCTAGAAACGATCCAAATGGAAACTCCTGTCACAAAATTCTTCCTTCATATCTTGTCATGTAGCTGATCTCTCTTCCAAACAAGCTCAGATAATGAGACTCAGCTTGAAGCCATCTTAAAGCGTCTAAATCCATTGTCCTTAACGTTAATCAAGTACTGCATTTTCTCAGGTATTCTCCAGTCAAGGGAACCTATTTCAGAGTTTACTCGTTTTCGAGTGTCTAAAATCATTTAATCTAAGGTTATTCTGATTTCGGCAAGGTTTAATTAGAAGCTCAAAGTACATCTATGACTACTACTTGTTGGGGGTGGAGAAATACATAAACCTCCAGTTAGGAATTCTTTCTCTTTCCCTTTAACCATTTTAAAGAGTGTGGAAAAGCAAAGGAGTATATACCAAAGCGGAAAGCTTGTATGTTTTCCTCTTATACAAGTCTTAATAAATGTGCTCAGCCAATATAAGCATAAATATAAACATTTTGTTATGCAAATATGGTGGCGCCTTCTCCTACGAATCTTGCATCAACCACTTTATTGGATCAATAAAGAGATAATGAATTTCCAAGTGACATTAGCTGCGATTAGCATGGCCGGGATCATATTTTAAAGAACATGGGCATAAAACAAAATTTTTATCAACATGCATATAGCCCTATGCTCCTTGTGGGGTGTTCATTTGGATTAATTATGACACACCAAATATGTTCATGAATCTCCAATCATACTTTTTTTGATGAAATCCGATATTTTCGAGGTTGCAGAGAAGTCATAAATAAAGGGTCCTATCATGTGCGATTTGACCGATCTTAGCTGTGATTAGCATGACCGGAGTCATATTTTACAGAATATGGGAATAAAACAAACTTTTCTTCGACATGCATGCCCTATGCTCCCTCGTGGTATTCATTTGGATTAATTGTGACACACCAAATTTGTTCACGAATCTCCTAATCATACTCTTCTTGATAAAATCCGATCTTGTCGAGGTTGCAGAGGAGTTGTCATAAATAAAGAGTATCATCACAGGCGATATGACTATTAGATGCAGCAGAAAAAGTCCTCCTCAACATGTCAAGTCCTTGCTCAGAACTAAAGATCCTGAACATCGGCACTCACTTTGTAGGTTCATAGGACTTTCTCATTCATCTTAAGAGATCATCTATCCTACAACCTACACCACCAACCTTAATAAAAGTGTCCTACTTTCTACTTTAGCTTGTTCCTAATGACCTTGGACCTATTTCCTTACATGTAAAGTGAGATCTTGATCCCATAAAATTGAAGTACAGTAATAGCATTTCATATTATTTTTAAGTACTTTTTAACATTTCAAAAGGTTTTTTCTTTTACATTTCTTCTACTAGTCTTAATATGGTAATCATTCAAGTATTTTAACTTTACTAATCACGCTCGAGTCATTTTCGAACCGAAATATATAGCTTCAACTTGAATGTGCCTAAATATATTGGTGAGTCATGCCACCTTGATAAAAATATTACCCGGACTATATGCAATAAGAGCTCGATCGTTTTCCATCTATTTTCTGACCACCCTAAGTTTCCAAATTGAGTTTCTTAACCTTGAGCACTAGTCCAATACGATGAATGGCTAGTATGATATTCACTATGGTTCTTTAAGCAAGTTCTTTCTATAGCACATATGCGGCACCTACTTGCCTAATATGAGACAAGTAACGGTGTTAACCTCCCCTCAAAGAAGTGATGACCTCTTACAACTTGTAAATTGCCATTGTTCACGTTCACATAAAAGAGTAAAAAATAGGACGAGGGATTGATGAGGGCCGTTTTAGCCTTTGAAAGACCCTCATATAGAGCTAACATGACCTGCTACATACAAGTATCGCCAAATAAAGATGGCCAAAAGGAGGACTACCATGGGAAAGATTGCCCAACTAGCTAACATAGAAATAGATTCTCGAATAGCAATTGTCTCTACGCGAATCTCTTCTTGACCTAGCCAAGCCACATGGACACTAATTAGGATAGGAACTACATGTGCCATAGATTTATAAATGTGGCTTGCATGGGCCTAAGGTGGCTTTGTTCAATTAGTTAGGGCTATTAAGTGAGCCGCATTGTTCGAAAATACAACTTAACTCGCTTAATCTTAGCTTGTCTTTTTAACAATTCAGGCATATGTAACTTTAAGGTCGACTAATGTTCGTGAAAATAATTATTTTGACATAAGTGTAAACCTAAGTTGCTCGGATACATGTGCAGGTGTCAGGCAGGTGTGCGGATCTAGAGATCGGATCATTCGAGATGTAAATTCTAAGATTCGGGAATATGGATCCTAGTACGGATATATGTGCGGGGATCCAACTAAAAATAATTCTAAAAATATAAAAATATCTCTAAATTATGAGAAATATTTGTGGAATACTTAGCTATAACTTGTCAAATGTGAATTTCTTCACTATTTTCAAGTTGTAGGCATGATTTCTTGATTTTCTTCCATTCTCGGATTCTCCTACAAGTTAACTATTTTATAGTTATCTTTCATTTATAATTTAGATTAGATATCTAATTATTAATATAAAAATTAGAGTTAGTGTCTGTCAAGCTTTCCCAAATTCTCGAAGGCTCCGTCTTCTCCATTCTCAATTGATGCTCTATGCTGCTCTTTCTGCCCGATCAAGAGGAAAAGCAGAAAGTAAAGGATTGATTTTCTAGATAAGGTATGCCACTTTTTCAAATTACCTTAGTTTTGGTTCTGATTTCGGGAATCAAATTATATCTTGTCTCGAATTTTTCGTCCGTCGTGGTAAAAGTACCCAAAATCGTTTGACCAGATCCGGTACGGATCCCATACCCACACCCACACCAGTGTTGTGTTTACACGGGTGCGCACCTAAACTGCCGTGTCAGAGCAACTTAGGTGTAAACCCCATTAAGAGTTTTCTTTAATGTTACATTCATAGAGAATAAAAAGATTATATAGATATTAATGTGAAAATATTTTCCGATTTGATTCTAAGATGTAAATCTATTATACTATCCGTGTGTGTGGGTGTAATTTGAGCTTGAACTCGAGTTCGAGGTTTTTAATTAGCTTGTTACTATATTAAGTCATGCTTGAACTTGTCTACTTTATTTGAGTTGAGCTCTACTCCAATTTAGAGAAAGAAGCGAGGATTCATATAGCCGACCCCAACCTGTTTGCGACTGAGGCATAGTTGTTGTTGAGCTCTACTCCAATTTGAAGCTAGTTCGATGTTTGAGCTTGAGTTTGAACTTGACTTGTAAAGCTCAAGGATGAAAAACTGAGGTCAGCTTAATCAGATTAGCTGAGGTAGCTATTGATGACTCTCATTTCCTTGGTGATTATGCCAATGGGTAGTGAGGCATTAAATTTAGTAACATCTTTACAACTAAGATTATATATGACACTCTTCCCCATTTGAACAAAGATGCATGTTGCAGGTTGAAGTAATAAAAGGATGAACATATGACAGCTTAGGAATAAGATCCACCAGAACAAGTATACAGTGGGGGCATTCAATAAAGTTCTGAAAATAGAACTCTGATTCAATGCACTTTCCCTTTGCATCTTTTTAACTTTTGATTTTTGAAGATGATGCTCTGTGTATGCAATTGATTTCCGTTGGTTTGCTGACCAATCCTTTACTACTATGTTTCCTTGTTCTAGTTCCAGTTTCACTTTGAAGATTCAAATCATTATCACTGGAAGTTGTCATAGAAAAACACACTAGGCAAACTAACACAGAAGGAAGTATGAATAAGCAGATTATCTTAAGACTTAGATTCAGCAAAATAATCAGTGTGATGAGTGCTTTGCGCTTGCATGTTCTCTTCAGAATAACCACCAGGAGAAGTTCTTGCAGTGATCATATAGATGACATTTCAAATACTTTTTAACGATAGGTTGCACAATGTTCCCAACTAGCTTGGAATTGAGGCTTAGTTGTTGTTGTTAATAGATTGTACAATGTGCCATCATGTTAGTAGATTAGCCAATTTATTCCCTTCAATATTTCTGTTGGCATTTTATGCACTTTTAGATCTCCTTATCTTTCTCTTTTTTAATTTTCAAATTTCCTGTGATTTTTTTTTTGCATTGTACCTGCAGGGAACAACAGGTTTCTCCAACAATCATCTCATCAAGGATGGCCGTTAGTTGTGAGTGTCTCGAACTTTTGCATCAATAGAAATGTATAGTCCATTATGGTGTTTTAGTTCGGGTTCAAATTTAAGTTGATTCATTCCTTTTATATTCAACCCAGGGAGTTGGCCCAGTTCCCCCTGTCATTAGCCATCAAGTAGTACATCCTAGTGTAATAGTACCAACTCAAAAGGAACAGTTTTTGAGAACTAAATTCTCTCCTCAACAGGATGCCTTACCAGAAGTGGCAGTTCAAACGTTTGATAAGATCAACTTTCCTGCCCCTGCAAGTTCTGGTGATTTCAATCGTGTGCTCATTCAAGCTGGATCGAGTGGAAAAGATGCAGGAGTAAGTTGAATTCTCAACTAATCCTGTCGCTCCTAGTGATTGTAGCACGCTGCAATTATTTTAGCCGTGAAATAGGCCATGTATTGGTTTTCAGGATTTTATGTTCTGTGATTGAGATCTTTTTCCTGCCTCACTATTTCTTCTATTTTTCTTCCTCCGGTATTGCACAGATGCTTGGTGATAAAAATAAAAGAACCCCGAAGAATTTACCAGATGACAAGCAAATATTAGCTCCTATAGGAGGAAAGCAAATGAAAGATTCTGGGAAGCAAATTGCAGTGCAGGAGCAAGCGAACCAGCTGAGATTGCAGTCTTCAAATAAGGTTGGTCTTAGATCATAAAGCAAGTAACTGATTTTGATTTGAATATCTTCAAATTTCAGCAATATTTTAGCAGTACAAGACTTAATGGAGACATGTGCATCTTCCCCTATTTGGCGACTAATTTATTTACATGTGTTTTGAATCAGAGTGGCAGAAAGAGGAAAACGTCATCGATTTCTCTGGCAGCTGTAAGATCATTTTCTGCATCTACTTCTTAAAGCCCTTCATGTACTGGTGTTTCCATTTCACTCTGCCGCTGACATTTGCATCTTTTTTTGTGGATTGGACTTCCCTTTCTTAATTTATTCTTGTTTCTGTCACCTTTATAGTCACTTGGACGAATGAGTATGAAATGTCTATGTAGTCTTCGTCAACTTTATTCTTGCTCATTTAATATATTCCTGAGATGTAGGTTGGGAAAGAGAAAGCTACTACAGATCATATTATGAATGGCAATATCGACAGCTACTTATCCCGGGGAGATGCTGGTCTGATTGCTGCAAGTAATTCACTCGCTGCATTGAGGAAAAGTATTGCTGCTTGCATTGAATCTGACCGGAAAGGTAGGTTACAACTTACAACAAGCTTAATGGGTCAAAAAAAATTAATATTAAAAAAGATAGTAATTTAGATAATTGACAGTCAACAGAAATTAATCCTCCATGAATCATTTTACAAGTTTAGATTTAGGCTCTGATGTTGAACTGTACATAACCGGTCTCACCTTTTGTTAGGTTCTAACCTCACCCAGCTAGTTCGTGCATCTAATTCTCTTATGTTCAGGAATAACACTACCCCAAGCAAACCCAATCGTGCTAAGTTTATTAGCATTATACCCTGCTTCATTCATCCAGATGCCACTAGTGTTTTAGGGGACTAGTGGAAGATTCATAGCACATATCTGAAGGTGTATAGTTGATGTAAGATATTGTACTTTGTTATGAACCTCTTTGCTTAAAAGCAAGTAGTGATGTGGCAGCTGCTCATGGCGGCAAATAGATGGTGTCATCTGTAAGCTTCTGTTGTGAAATTTGCAAGATTTTATATTGCTTCTGTATAATTGTATCTTAAAACGGGGGAAAATGAAAAGAATGTGTGGTGTCACATTTAGGGTTTGAGATCAAGCACTGTAGCTTCCGACTTTTTGAGGCTCTTACCCTGTTGGATAAATTGCTGGTTATCAGCATAAAGGATAATTGACTTCATATTGCGTTGCAGGCATCACTATTAAAGAGATTGGAAGCCTTCACGCAACAAAGAGCAAGCTCCTATGTTGCCACTTCCATTCACAAGGAAAGTTGTTGGCTACTGCTGGTCACGAGAGGAAGGTTTGTTTTGCTTATAAAAGGATTTTTAATGGGAGAGCGCTTCTCTCAGTTTCTCCTGTTAACGAACTTGTACGATCTATGTTTAGGTTGTAATTTGGGACGTGGAAAATAGTGATGTTAAATGTGGAGAAGGTCATGCTCATCTCATTACAGATATCCGTTTTAGACCAAACTCAATGGTGTTTGCAACATCCTCTTTTGACAGAACTGTGATGTTATGGGATGCAGCCAAGGTACTACCTCGATTTTCCATACCAAGTTCTTGGCAAATGAGTCTTTCAGTTATTTCTTTTACAAGTTCCATCCATCTCAGAAATAGCAGTCAGCATAGTCAAATCAACCAGGATATGTATTCACAAGTTTAAACTTCTACGATTTCGTCGTTCTTGGTCAACATTATTTCTTCTATTTCTGTGCTATTATTATCCTGATTGTTTTCCTTTTACTTAGATGAGATTACATATTCTTCTTTTAGCAAGCAGCTACTCAGACTCTATTATCAATTGGCGTTCACTGCCACATTCATTATCTCTGCACTGAGGATAAAAGATTTATCACTAATATGTACAGAATCATCATCTTGTGCTGTCTAACACATTTCATTTGACTCAATATTTGAGGAACTTGCTGTTACCAAAACATCTTTTGCAGTCTCTAGACCTTCAGAATATCTTTTTCTTCTTCTTATGGTTATCAGGACTTTTCTAATAATGATAACTGTCTAATATCTTGAGTTTCTTCCCTTTTTCTTCTGTGTCTATTACTACCATGATACTGTACCTATTTCACCAATTTTTTCTTAATCCAGCCAAGCAACCCTTTCAAAAGCCTTGTCGGGCACGTTGAGCATGTGATGTTCACAGATTTTCATCCAACAAAGGCCGGTCTCCTCAGCTCTTGTGATAGCAATGATGAGATTAGACTGTGGGATGTCGATGAGGGCGATTGCAAACTCATTTTTAAGGTGGGTATCTCTACTTCTTTGTTTTTTAAACGTTGATGAAGAGGTGCCTCTGCTTGACATAGGAAGGGCCTCCATATTTTGGTATTACCTGTTTTTCTGTTCTATTTCAATTTTGAGCTGACATATCTACCTGATCTAAGTCATCTTCAAATCGGTTCTCCTGAATTCCTGCATTTAGATTGTGGAAAATGTTTTTCTTATTGTTCTACTTACCTGCGAGCAATTTCAAAGTTTTCAAGATCAGTAGGCCTCAACATGTAAATACACATGCGATAGTTTAGGAAATAAAAGGGTTGAGTTTCATAATATTATTTGAACCAACATCCATAATCACGTTCAGCGAGGCAAAGTACAGTGTCTAAACTAAGTGATTTTCTAGAGAATTAGCTATTATCCATTCACGAAAGGTTCGTTGACTTGCTCTTGGTACAAATGCAGGGAGGTAGTAGACAAGTTAGATTTCAACCTCGATTTGGGAACTTATTGGCAAGTTCTACAGGAAATGTTATAAATATATTTGATGTGGAGACTAACAGCATCCAACAAAAGTTCGAAGTAAGATTGTCTATTCCCGGTTAAGCTTGTTTTAAATTTCTACTATGCTGCATTATTGTATCATATCAAAGTGGTCTCCTTTTCTTTGATATACAGGGTCATGTCAGAGACGTCCGTTCAATCTGTTGGGATATGAGCGGGAATTTCCTGGCATCTGTGAGCGAGGATAGTGCACGGATATGGTGTGTTAGCGGAGGAAAGTGTTTACATGAACTTTGCTCCAGTGGCAATAAGTTCCAGTCATGCACTTTCCACCCTGACCGCGCTTANGGGAATTTCCTGGCATCCGTGAGCGAGGATAGTGCACGGATATGGTGTGTTAGCGGAGGAAAGTGTTTACATGAACTTTGCTCCAGTGGCAATAAGTTCCAGTCATGCACTTTCCACCCTGACCGCGCTTAACTCTTGGCGATTGGTTCTCATGAGGTATGCTTAACAGAATTTCTGCTGAAGCTTTGAGCTCGTNTATGCTTAACAGAATTTCTTAAGATTAAGTTCTTTGTAGACTTGGCTTGATTAATGTCTATATAGTTGCACAACAACAAATGTAACCTAGGACTATTCACATGTAAACATCTCAAACCGTGTTACAGATAACTTTTTAGATGATCCTAGATTCTTTTGATATTTCATGAGGGGAAGTAACATGTCGAGTGTTGTTGCAGTTACTGGAGCTGTGGAATCCAATGTACTAGAGCCACAGAACTTGGCCACACCGAGCACATGATGATATAATTTCTTCATTTGCAGATTCACCTCCGACAGGAACCATAGCCTCAGTGAGTCATGACCTACTATCAAGATATGGCAGTGATACTTTGTTGCATGCCAGTTTCTGCGGCTATACCCCATGCTCTCAGCTTCCATTATTAATTTACTGATGCTTCTTGGTTTATGACTTTTACTTGGGACAAAGCAAGAAGACAGTATTCTTGATTTTGTTGAGGGATACACACCATTTACCTGGAATGAGTTATTTGAATGGCTGAATCACTACAGAAACAGTCGCAAACTTTGATTCATAGTTTCAGACTCTATTTAATCTTGACATTGTACTCTTCTGCCCTATTTTATTGTTTGGAAATTGAATTTAAAATGTTAATTAGAATTGTCTATGAAATACCTAATATAAATTTTTTGTCTATGGATAAAGTACAATATCACATCAAAGTTTAAAATTGAATAATTAATGTACTTAAATTCTTAAATTGGAAAGTTTGTAAAAATATTATTATTAGTTAAAATGATATTTTATTTGACTTACTTTTGAATATAATTATATCTCATACATTTTAGGGAGGAGTATTTATTAGGCTTGATTTGGGATTGTTTTAATTTTTTTTTTTTAAATTGTTACTTATAATTATACGATTATCAACTTTTGATGTAACGGAAATAGGATCAAACAATCAATTTAATAACCTGATTGGGCCGATCCCAAAATCTTCCTCATTGTTAAATGTTTTTTTTTTTTTTTTATAACCGTGGTGTCCGGGCCAGCTTGCGCATAGTGTCACATTTTACCAGTAACACGTAACAGGTAACTCTATGCAACAAGATTTGGATAGATGACAAGAAATTACCTAGTATTTACCTCCAGATTTGAACTGACACTTCATGGTTCTCACACCTTGGTTGTATCTTACTCATTGTTAATAATCCCAATCAAAACCCCAGCACTCACAAATCACTAAAAAAAAATGGAGTTGAAGGAATCGAGTAGAAGAGAAGAAGTATCATCGGCAAAAGCAGTACAGGCTGGAGCTTTGGCTCCTGGAATCAACGTCCGTATATTTTTCCCCTTTCTTCGCAAATATGTTTTTTTAAAACTTTAAATTCCTCTGTTGTAGTTGATTTTTCGTTTTTGGGTTCAGGGTCCTACAAGGAATACGCTAAAGAGTTGCATTTTTAATGCTGGGTTTGTGTCTTGCTGTTATATTGGACTTGGCTTTTTCGTCAAGTACTTTTCTTCTTCTTAGCAGGTATGTTTCAGCTTTTGTTATTCAATGTTGTAGATTTGATTTGCATTGGTGTATAGTTCTGCATTTCCTTAGTCAGATTCTCTGTTCTGGTTAATGGTAGCCCGTGTGGTTTCTTTGGCAGCTCCAGGGGTCTCAGGCAAGGTGACCCCCTATCCCCCATGTTATTCATTCTAGTGATGGATGCTCTGAGCAAGATGATGGATCGTGCGGCGGGCGGAGGTTTCTTGAGAGGATTCTCAGCTCCGATTGGGGTGCTCAGTGCCCGAAGAGTCTCACATTTGCTTTTTGCGGATGACACACTGGTTTTCTGTGATGCCGACATGAATCAGTTGACCTACCTGAAGCAGGTCCTGCAGTGGTTTCAGTTAGTATCAGGACTCAAAATCAACATCGGCAAGTGTGAGATTTTCCCGGTAGGTGAGGTTACTAATATTGATGCCTTGTCTGGTGTTCTCAGATGCAAGGTGGGCTCCCTTCCCACTACTTACCTGGGCCTCCCTTTGGGCGCTTCATATAAGGATACTACGGTTTGGAATCCAGTGATCGAGCGGGTTGAAAAAAGATTAGCAGGGTGGCAGAAACGGTATTTGTCAAAAGGAGGTAAGGAAGTGCTTATCAAAAGCACTTTATCGAGTATGCCCACCTATTACTTATCCCTGTTGCAAGCACCGGTGAGCATCACAGAAAAACTGGAGCGACTTCAAAGGAACTTTCTGTGGGATGCGGCGGATGGAACTAGAAAGTTTCATCTAGTGAATTGGCAGACAGTCACTTCCCCAAAGAAGTGGGGTGGACTTGGAGTGAAAGATCTTAGGGTATTTAACAGAGCTTTAATGGGAAAGTGGTTGTGGAGATTCGGGGTAGAAGAGCATGCTCTATGGAGGGAGGTCATAGTAGAAAAGTACGATTCAACGGGAGGGGGTTGGAGGACCAAGGCGATCACAACACCTTTCGGGTGTGGCATGTGGAGGAGTATCATGAAGAATTGGGAAGCATTCAGTGGCAACATCACTTATAGGGTGGGAGATGGAAGGAGAATCAGCTTTTGGAATCATAGATGGTGTGGAGAGGATACTCTCAGGGTCTCCTTCCTCCACGTCTTCAGAGTTTCAAACCAGAAAGAACTGATGGTCCAACAGATTCGCAAGGAGCTTGAAGGGGGTAGTATGGGACCTCTCATTCAGGAGGAACATGCAAGATTGGGAGATTGCGGAGCTCCAAGTTTTGTTGGCGCTGCTATACGGGCAAGACAGGCTTCAGCCATCCTGTGACTCTTGGAGATGNCGGAGAAGAAGAAAGCAGAAGGCGTGGAAGTTCGCCCCGTTAGCTCTCATGTGGGTAGTATGGGGGGAGAGAAATATAAGAGCTTTTGAGGAGATTGAGTCTCCTTTTTCACATCTTAAGAATAGTCTTTTATCTTTGATCGCTTTTTGGTGCACTCATTTAGCCCCTACTTGTATAGAAGATTGGGCGTTTTTTTGTAGAGAATCATGTTCTGATATAAATTCTCTACGTCTTTGGTATACTTCGTGTATACGAGAGTTCTCTCCCTTTTGATTAATACAATTTACCTTATCAAAAAAAGTATACTTGAAAACTGTCAAGTAAGCTTTGTATAACTAGATTAATCGATTTGGATAAAATAACTAAATAATCCTTACTTTGGAGGAATAGATTCCCACTTCAAATCTTTGATTTTGTGTAGTACCTGGAATAAGTGATAAAATGTATAATTACAAGATCATGTAACTAATTGACAGCATTTGTTGGATTATTTCTTTGGAAAATAAAGTTAATATCTAGGACAAAGAAGGGTTTTCCTAGACTCATTAGGACTAAGGGCCGAATGATCATCCTTAAGGTGTTCCATTCCCTCTGTGCATCATCTTTTCTACCAGCTGCAGAGACACACATATTCCATTTTCCTGGAAATATAAACTGGATAAAGTCAAAGAGTATTGCAGACAAACTAAACATTATTTGTCAGCTGACATGGTCTAAAAATGACTTCCCTCACTCTTGGGTAGAAGTTATCTCAACTCTTAATTTCATATCTATTCTCCTACCAACACTTGGACATTATAATCAATCTTTAGTATTCAAAAATTTCATCAAAACGCTATCTGATTCGCTAACATTATTTTCAATCTATAATCTAAAAAAATTCAGAAAATATTTGAAAAACGTTTGGAAAATGTTTCCATCGTATCACCATCCTAAATAAAAAAGAATTAGTACTTACTGTCTATTTTTCCAAGATATTGTCATCATCATGTGATTATTCGAGGAATATAACATACACTTTTAATCTTCATTCTGAGAATGAATTTACCTCACCGAAGTCCTTTTATGTCAAAATAGTTACTAAAAATGCTTTTTCTCTTAAATAATATTTATGTTAGAGCTAAAAATTGACAAATCATTAACATTGACATAGGGGCAAATAATAACATGTGAATTATT